GGGGGGGGGGGGGGAAGTGGAAGCGCAATTGACTTTTGGGTTTAGGCATGAATTGGGATTTGGGGGGAATATTGGATATTTGGGATTTAAAAATTGAAAAGAAATAATACACTGTTGCCACCGTGCAAAACAAATACTAAAAGAGGAGAAAAAATAATCAAATTTTGTGAGATTAGCATGGGCTCACCGGCACCACCATTTGTTAGGCAGATCTGCTTCTGCTTCCAGCTGATGGACGTGATATGTGGTTATACTATTACTAAAGTTCAGCAAACGGTAGACATCTTTCACTTAAACAGTCATAGTTGCATAGTAATACACAATTTTATTTTATCTGCTTTCCTGCATCCACTTATTAAGCAGAAAACATTTAACATAAAAGAGAGGCAAATGCAACAAAACCAATCAAAACAGATACATATGAGCTTTATATGGAATAAATTGACACCTTCATCAATGACAAAGGGAATAAACCGGTCCATCAGTGAATATTTATATGTGAGATGCATGCCGTTAAGCACCTTTACAAGCATATCGCTGTAACAGTCTACTTCCCGTACAATTTCAGTATTTGTCAAAGCTTGGTTGCACTTATAAATGGAAGCATCATAAACATGTCATTATGGACAACATCTACGTTTACTATCATACAACCAAAATGCTCGAGATAAAATAATTGTCATAGCCCTTCCTAGGGCAGATGAAGACAATCATTTTGGTTTAAGTTTTAAGTTCATGCACAGAACTTCCTCAAAATTCTAATAGAAAGTAGCATTTTCTGTTTACCTGACAAATAAAAATCGTTATGCGTTTCAACATCAAGGCAACAAAAGGAGCTTAAAACCATTGTTAGCTCCATTCGTGTCAACATTTGGCAGATAATAGCAGATATTTGTCCGAACAAACTTAATCGTGAAAACTATTGATTTGCTTTACGAACTGTGAATACTCACATTTAATTTAAGTACCAGTTCTGAAAATAATTTTGAACTAAAGGGACAAAAAGTCTTTCAAGTAACAAACATTTAGGTATAAAATTCGTAGGAAAGATCCAATATGACAAACTATTGGCTATACTATCTTAATGATACTGTTTTTGTTATATTGGCATATTTGTTTGTGTACTATGCATAAATTACGCACCTCGGTAGAGGAATAAAGACATGTGCGTTACACTACATTCACACGGCCAGGGTCGAGCTTTGAAATAATGAATGGAGTTATTTAAGATGAACAAATAGAACTTTTCTCGGTGATAGTCCAAAAGCTATTGCATGCTAATGGATCCAGTAATAATGTTTCTTTGTTATTGGCAAAAGAAAGTATTTACACACGCTATCCTGTACTGATAGTTCTTAACATCCTAAATACACTGGGAAATTTGGTTTGTTCCTGAGCACCTATTTCATCCTCAATCCGAATGTTTGAAGAACAATATTTTCACACTAAAAATATCATTTTGCTCAACCAAAATAAGAGCACCAAAATTAGAAACAAAGATTATGCATCTGGGTATTTCTTTCCAAACCTGCATATCAAAATCAGACATGCTTGTAGAAAATCTAGCACGAAATTATTCAAAAGAATAGAGAAACCAACATCAAAAATATTAGATAAAACTTCAAATTTAGAAAATTCTGAAGTGAAAGCAAGAACACTTCAAACTTACGCTATAATTGGTTAAAAGTTTTATACAATTTTACTTTCTTTTTCTTTAGTTTCATCATTGTTGTGCCCAAAAGTTCTGCCCCCGGAATTATTGTTTTTCGTGATTTCATCTTCATTTTAAGGTTAAGTATTGCACATTTCTTTAATTATTTCATTATTTCAGAATCAAATTAATTCACTTGTCCAGAAATCACGTATAAATTCAACTGTACCGTTTTACGGGTAAATAGTTTTGTGCCCACCGTAGGGCCTAGACAACCGTGTAATTAACTTAATCCGTGCCTCTTTTACTAACGTGTTTTGATTATTTTTCCTAGCAAAAAATCATAGGAAATGGTAGATAATGGTGTTAACAACAAGCACAATCCTGAGGTTCGAGGAAACCAACCTTATTTTTAGGATTCAATCAGTGACACCCACAATGAGGGGAATGATGCCATGTTGGTCCACGACAGACGGTACCCGCGACGTGTTCGGGAAGCAACTCCCCATGATACCAAAGAGGAGTGCATGCAACATTACGTGATAAAGGTCCAGGCTATACTGGCTCGAATTCGAGAGTGGTCGATTACTCATATCTCGAGGGAAGAAAATGCACAAGCAGATGCACTAGCTAACCTCGGTTCATCAATAAAAATGAAGGGACCAAAGTCCGGGACAGTAGTACAAATGATGCACTTGGTCCTGGATGAAGATAGCTAATACGAGGTAAATACGACTAATTTGGTCTGGGACTGGAGGAATGAGATCATCGTTTATCTTGAACACGGGAAATTACCCGAAGATTCCAAGGCATCCCCGGCCCTGCAGGTCAAAGTGGCATGGTATAGCTTTAAAGGAGGTTAATTGTACAAAAAATCTTTCTAAGGCCCGCTGGCCCGATGTTTGGGAGCATCCGAAGCTAATTACGCTATGGGAGAAGTTCACAAAGGGATATACGAAAACCATCCATGCAGATTTCTTAGCGTTAAAGCTAGTAAGAGCAGGATATTATTGGCGTCGGATGGGACAAGACACTAAAGCTTTCGTATAAAAAAGCAATAAGTGGCAATGCTACGCACCGCTGGTACATCAACCGGCATAACCACTACATTCAGTTCTGTCTCCGTGGTCGTTCATGAAATGGGGAATGGACATCGCCGGACCACTGTCGTCGACTCCCGGTAAGGTAAGATTGTGGTGGATTTCTTGTGAGAAAACATAATCTGCAGGTTCGGAATACCAAAAGAATAGCATGTGATAATGAGCCTCAATTTATTGGCGCAAAGATCACAAAGTTTCTTGAAGATATGAAAATAAATAGGAACACATCTTCACACTACCATCCGAGCGCAAATGGTCAAGCGGAGTCAACGAACAAAGTGATTATACAAAACCTCAAGAAAAGGTTGGAAGCAGCTACAGGTAAATGGCCCGAGGAACTACCCAGAGTTTTATGGGCATACCAAACAACGACCAAATCAAGCACATGAGAAAATCATTCTTCCCTTATGTATGGAGCAGAAGCCTTAATCTCGGTGGAAGTAGGGGAGCTCACCTTGAGATATTTTCAAGCAAATGAAGAGTCAAACAACGAAGCAATGTTAGTCAACTTGGAGTTACTCGATGAGCGTAGGGACTTGGCGCATATAAGAATGGCAGCCCAAAAGCAGAAAATGGAACGATATTATAATCGAAGAGCCAACCTCCGTTATTTCAAAGTAGGAGACTTGGTGCTAAGGAAAGTAACTCAAAACACTCGTGATCTAAATACATGGAAGCTAGGTCCAACATGGGAAGGCCCCTACTGGGTTTCAG